AATTCACAGATTCTCAATCTCTCTCCAGCCTCCTTTCTCACAAATGCAGTGGGAATGAGGCCTTTGGGGAGACCAAATCTGTGAAATGGCAGGAGGTTTGGAGTCACACTGAGCACTACACTTCAATCCTGCCATTTCACAAAACTTCATTCTCTCTCCAGCCTCATGTTGAGTTTATGTATGAACAGTCCAGCTGGAGAGAGACTAAAGACCTGAAAGACAACCAGGAGCACCACAGATGCCACTTCAAAAGCAAAATTGGCAACTGGTGGCAAAGGTTTCACGTTTTGGAGATTTCACGTTTGTTATATATATTGAAATCTATATATATAACGAACGTGAAAATATGTATCTATATAGGTGATTTCCAAGACGGTACCCACTTCCAGAGAGCACTGTGACTCCCACCAATGACGGATCTGGACCATACTTGGTCCACAGACCTCTCATGACCTCAGTGAGCTCAGTTGATCATGCTGGGTAAGTGTGCCAAGTTTGGTCAAGATTCATCATTGGTTGGGTTCAGAGTGTTTTCTGGATGTGAATGAACTATAACTCCCAACATTCAAGGTCAATTCCTTCCAAATCCCCACTATTCAGAGTTGGTCACATTGGGCACGTGTGGCAAGTTTGGTCGAGATATGTTGTTGGCAGGAGTCATAGGGTTCTCTGGATGTGGGGTGAACTATAACTCTCCAAATCCAGGGTCAATCCCCCCAAACCCCTCCAGTATTTTGGTTCTGAGTGGATGTTGAAGAAGAAGTGCATGTGTCATTAAATCATGCAATAACACTATGTTCCTGAATGTTGTTCCTGAGTTAGAAATGTATTTATTTATTTTATTTATTTACAGAATTTTTATTCCACCCTTCTCACCTTCCAGGGGACTCAGGGAAGATTACAATGCACATATACATGGCAAACATTCAATGCCATAGACACACAACATATATAGACAGACACACAGAGGCTATTTAACATTCCAGCTTCATGAGGGTATTCTGGCCACCAGGGGAGCTGTTGCTTCACTGTCCATTTGTGACACTGATGGAGTACTTCCTCATTCTTTTGCTTGCTTGCTGGAGATTTTATGGCACCGTAAATTAGTTAAATTAGCCTCCCTGCATAAGCGGTACCTAAATTTCCTACTTGACAGATGCAACTGTCTTTCAGGCTGCAAAGGTTGACAACAAGCTACACAGATGGTCGGAAGCTCACTCCGACCTGGGCTAGCTTCGAACTCATGATTTCAGTCAGTAGTGATCTTAATGTAGCTGACTCCCAGCCAGCTGTGCTACAGTCCCGGTTCAATGAAATGTCATTTCCTAATTGGTTCTATCATAAAGACACAGAAAAAGTTCATTAAACTGCAAAAACTTTGCTTTTGCGGGCCATCCTGCATAACATTTTGCCATAGTTTTTCAATGAACATCTCATAGAATTTCTGGGAATTCCTACGTACGTATTTTCGGCCTCTGTTGCATCTCTATTTCATGATAACAAACTTTTAGCATATGATTCAATCGTTTTATCTAACGAGAGAGCAAGAAAAGCACAACGTTGTGTTCAACGGAAAGAGAAAAAAATTCTAAGCGATAAAACCATAAGTAACATTAATTGGTGACCATTTGTAAAATCAATACCAAACAGCTGTTTCAGAGATATCAGATCAATAAAAAGCATTATACACATATCATTCAAAAAGCATGTTGTCTTAGTTCAATTTTATATGTCTTGCATTTCACAATCTTCATAATTCTGAGATGGATAACGAACATTCTCAACATCTGATACTAATCTGTTTTCTCCAGTATTGATAAAGAAACTGACAGATAAACACCAATCTGAAAGACTCTTTAAAAGAGATAGAAATGACCAAAAGATAGCCAAGGTCACCAACTGATCAGTAAAAGAACTAGGTTTCTTTTACATTTTGAAGCCAGCGGCAAGAAAACCAAAGGCAACCAACATGTTTTAGCAGGAGCGACCTCTTATTTTAGCCTTCAAGGATTTAGCAGAAGAGTCTGGGGAGGCTGGGATAAGAGGTTTGGTGGCCAGAAGTGTTCATAAGCATAAAAAGGTCATGGGGGTCCTGTGTTCCAAGTTTGGTCTTGATCTCTCTTTGGTGGGAGCCACAGTGATC